GGTGTTATGTTTTGATCTGTAATAAAAAGTAAGTCCTAGAAAAGAAAGCGTAATGTTTAACGAACATGGCCTCTGGAGGTTGGCTGGTCCACCCTCCTCCCTCCAGGCAGGGTCACCTAGACCAGGTTGCCCAGGACCATGGCCAGACAGCTTTTGAATACCTCCACTGATATGCCAGTATACCAAGGTATTTACAAGATCCCCCCTGAGCCTTCTCTTCTCCAGGCTCAACAGTCCCAGCTCTCCCAGCCTTTCCTCATAGGAGGGATGCTCCAGTCCCTTAATCATCTTTGTACCTTTTGTTGGACTCTCTCCAGCATGTCCATGTCTCCCTTGTACTGGGGAGCCCAGAGCTGGACACAGTACTCAGCTGTAGCCTCACCAGTGCTGAATAAAGAGGAAGGATCACCTCCCTTGACTTGCTGGCAATGATTTGTCTAATGCAGCCTGGATACCCTTCACCTTCTTTGCGGCATGGGGACATTGCTGGCTTGTCTTCAACCTGGTGTCCGCCAGGACCCCCAGGTCCTTTCCTGCCAAGCTGCTTTCCAGCTCGGTGGCTCCCAGCATGTACTGGTGCCTGGGCTTGTTCCTGTGCAGGTGCAGGACTTTGCACTTCTCATTGTTGAACTTCTTGGGGGTCCTGCCAGCCCATTTCTCCAGCCTGTCCAGTTCCCTCTGGATGACAGCATAACCTTTTGGCATATCAGCCACTTCTAGTTTTGTGTCATTAGCAAATTGGTGAGGGTACGCTCTGCTCCATCATCCAGGTCATTAATGAAGGTGTTAAACCAGACTGGACCCAGTATTGACCCTGGAGTTCACCACTAGTTACTAGCCTCCAACTCGAGGCTCACAAATGAACAGTTTTACATAATTTATTGAAACTTCCACAGGAGGTTTTGTGGGGATTTCATGTCATGTTCCTGACTAGATGCACATATCTCTTCAGAAGTTGCTTCCATCCCATTAGTCTCTTAAACGTTTAAAATAGTAGAGACTTATAGCCAATTGGTTTGCAGAGATGATTAGCACAGTGTGATATAGACTGTGGAAGAAGATGCATAGATATGGACAGTGAGGATATTCAAAGGGGAAGATCCCATTTGATCTATAGGGGGTCAGAGGCTTATCAAGGTGAAGTTGTACTTGGCACATTGTATTATGATGCAGGATTGAGGCATGTCATGGGGGTTTTTTTTTGGAACAGAATAAGTTACCCAAAAGAGACTCTGGCCTTTAGAAGCAATGGATATAACTTTAAAATCTAGGTAGAAAATAGATCATTTAGAGGTAAAAGGGTAATCTGGACAATTTAGTTAGCAAAAGAATTGTTTTAATGAGAGATTTCTTTGCTTTCTGTGATACATCATTTGTTTTGCGAGGACTGGATGGTGAATATGGTAAGGACTGCTAATGATTTTTTAGTAGTATGTGCAATTAGTATTTAATGTATGCATTTCAATTTCTCATAATATTTTTCATGTGACAGTTTTAGAACAATGAACTAAACCAAGAAAATTGACCAGTCTTTATCAACAAACACTACTAGGTAGCCAGTTAAGTAGGAATTAAATCTTCCTCACACTTCAGAGATGTTGGAATCTTATACTTTCTTCTATCTTTAACCAAATCACAATAAATATTTTGTGTTTTCGTATTGAAATCAGTTTTGTCACTGATTTTAACATGAGCAAGGTCAGTCATTATGTACTATTAGGAAAAGTAAATATGTTTTTGCTTAGACTTAAGGAAAGATCACTTGTGTTTAATCCTTTCTTCAGTACTTGGCTTTATAAAATGAAGGAAGAAGAGATACTAAATGTTGCGAATGATGTTTCAGTTTTGTCACCTTTGTGGGCCTTTCAGTGATTTCAGTTGTATAGTCTTTCTCAAGTTATGTGACTTAGGTCTTATTCTTCAAGCTGTACTTATTTTTCATAAAGCTTAACAAAAACTTTGTCAAGGACATCTTGCTTCACTGCTTTTTTTTTCCCCCTTTTTTTCCCCTTGTACTAGTAAATTCTTAAATAGCTGAAGTTGCTCAAGAGTGACCATCTGCTCTGTTTCCAGTAGAACAACTCATGCTTGATTTCCCCTTGGGTTGTCAGTCCTTAGCAAACTCTGACTTCAAACTATACACTTTTTTTCTTGTTGTTACTTTCAGTTATTCACATGGATCCCAGCTAACACTGGGTGTATATTTAAAAATAAATCGCCTTAGTTTTGTTCTGTCATAACTGTAAAATATGTATTGTCTCCCTTATTATTTCAGTTATGTATTTTATCCTACCAGATTGTGTTACTTAATATAGGGTAATTTTTCTTGTTGAAATATTTATTTATTTATATTTGGCCTTTTTTGTTATATAACTTCATCTTTGCTGTTTTTAATTAATTTTCCTTTTTCCTCCTTCTCATTTGTTTATAGAGACACAAAACTTAAAACAGCATCTTTAGTGGCATTCTTATTTGTATCTATGCATTTATATTCAATATCATATCCATAAAGTTCTTTCTATAAATCATATTCAGTTGTTTCCATAAAATACATTTCATGTTATTTCCATAGATCAAAGCTAAACAGGTATTGTAGTGTCAGCTTTAGTGTTTGGTTAATGCTGCTGAGGTTCTCAATGTTTTTGAAGCTTTGCTGTATTTTCTTCTGCCATCAGAAACTTCTGTTCAGTGGTGTACTCTGGGAGTCAAAATCTGGCAAGTCATCCTCCCAAAACAGCGTTCCGCTTTCCCTCAAGTTGTTTTTGGTTTGGGGTTTTTTTGGTTGGTTGGTTTTTTGCTTTCAAGGTACATCTGTGCCTTGGCGAACCCATGCCTACTGCCCTCTTCCCGCATCCTTTATTCTGTTTATGCCTTCTGCAAACAGAATCCAGTCTCTCTCATGAAATCAGAGTTCTTTTATTTTTTTTTTATGTATATACATATATATATATATGTATAAAATTGAAAATCTAGAAAGGAACTCTGTTCAGTCTTGAAGTGAGGCTTCAAAAGGTAATTTACAAAAGGCATCTTTTCACTGTGAAGAATCTCACAAGAGCTGCTTTTGCATTTGAAGAGTGGGAAGAGGAAGGATTCACTGAATAAACATTGGTCGCTGACTGTTAGCAGTTGTTCTCCCTGGAGAAGGGTTGCTGTCCTATCGCAGGAGACTCCTCTTTCTTCACAGTGCAGATAAAGGAACTAATTACATGTTTTGTTGAAAGCAGAAGAGTCAGCGGCTGGGTATTTCCTGTATTTGTTGCCACGAGATCTCTGTCAAGGTTATGTGGAGTCTCAGTGATTGGCTGTTAGTAAATTTGATTTGGAATATCTGCAAAAATAGCTTTTACATGAAAATGTTGGTTTATGGCTACAAAAAACTTTCATTAAACAGATTGATTCAGGTAAAATTTTTCTGTTTCAATGACTTTCATTTTCAAGCTTATGAACATTTTAAAAAGTTATCAATAAAATGTTCCGTTGTGACTTATACAAGCAAAACTTTTTTTTCCAGTTCATTAATTTCAGTTAATGAACAGTTCATTTTTTTTCTTACAGATTTGGAACAGAACTTCTTTAACACAGTCTACTGAGATGGGAAAAATATTGCCATCCAATTCTAGTCATTATTGTTTACTTGTTAGTCAAAGACAGTCTCAGTTTCTCAGCTGACTAAATATGGATTGGCTACTTTTTTTTTAAACTACCTTCCCCTCCAAAGAAATCAGTTTTAGCTGTGGGATAATCTCTTTCTATGTTTTTACTTTTGCATGTAATATGCTGATCTTCCACATCTGTGCTTGAGATCTGGCAACAGAAAAGCTCCAGATGAGTGTATTTAGAGCTAAAACTGTACAGCAAACTTAAGGCTTTAATCCTAGACAGCCTTGTTATGATTAATCAACTTCATTCTCTCATTAATGTTTTTACTTTTTAAAATGGGAAGTTTCATTCACATTTGATTTTGTTATTTTAGCTCATTCTGAAAGTTTGACTGTCTTTCTTTTTCTATGCACAACCAGAAACTAAGAAAAACAGTCTCTATCAGTATTTCAAGATTTCTTGCCAATACTTTCATTTCTAGCCGTGTATCTAAAAAGATATTTCACTGACTGCCTTTTGCTCATGGACATATGTAATTTTTTTATGCTTCTTGAGTTGCTTCATAATTTCTTTGCAATTTTTATCAGTTATAGGTCTGTTCAGTAGTTCAAAAGTTAACTCTTTAGGACTTTGCTGTAATATTGTGGAAATTTGTGTGTTTAAAACTGGAATACATTGCAAGTAATTAAAGACTCAAGTATACAATTAAGGCTTCTTAAAGGCTTTCTGTTTGTAAAAAGGTTTCTTCAGAAAGTTTTGTTATCATAAATTTCAGCTAATAAGGTGTAGTAGAAAATGTAGGTCTCTATTCCAGGGCAAAGAACGAATGCTGTTTTCCTATGTATGTTAAAGTGCAATACTTATCTCAAACATTTGTTTAAAATTCAGATGTAGTGAATCAGACTTTACAAAGCCTGATAACACAGTTCTTATGTGTAACAACATGTTGCAATGCAGAACGGCTTGGTGTTTGCATGGGGTAGCTTTCCTGGGAAAGTCCTCCCTGTGCAGAGTCTGAGCAAATGAACTCTTTTGGAAACTAAAACAGATCTTAGTGTTCAAATTTTGTGCTTGATCTTCACATGAAGATGAATTCATCCTTGTAGAAAGAGGGGAGCGTTGTTGAAGCCTTGTAGATGCTGCAAGTCCAGTACCAACTGCAGGGCTATGGCCTTGGGACCAGTGTATGCCGCAATTCTGGACTGCAGAGATAAGTTTTGTTCAGAAACCTGTTTTTCTATGAGAAGTCTGAGATTCAGTAAATTAATATAAGATACTGCTCAAACACAGAATTGACAAAATCAGTTCAAAGTACAAAGAAAGAGTCTAGCAAATTTTTATTTTAAAAAAGTGAATGATACACAAGTTCTTATTTTCTTTTTTTTTTTTTTTTTTAGATTCATCAGATGGAAGTCTAAAAGCTTCTACGCATCATGGGGCAATAGATGTTTATGTCAGTCAATTAAGAAAAGTGGATCTGAAATCCCAGAAAGGTTAGCAAACTAAAACAAATATTTTTTTGTGGCAGCTTATGATGTAAAAGAAGAGGGGGTAAGGAGTTTTTTGTTTACCTGTCTGGAAAAAATTAATTTGTTAAATTTGTGATTGTTGGTTATCTACATTCTTTTTTACCTCATTATTAGAAAATGTGTGTAAATACTTATAATACAGTAAACTCTGTAAGGGGCAATGGTACTTAAAATGGATTGCAGAATTTTTTTATTTTTCAATACTTTCTTTTCTTCCTGGCAATCTACCCAACAGAATTCTTCAGAGTTGACTTGGATTACAATCTTCCTTTGCCTTGAGCCCAGTTTACTCCATGGTGCTGATATATGTATGTACAGAGTCACAACCATCACGTGTTTACATTTCTTTTTCCTGCCTTTTCCTGGTGAAATGTCCCATTACTGAAATTGGAAGGCAGAAAAACAAAGATGAGGGGGCATTACCCTACCATTCTTCCTTTTTTCTCCTCATTACTCACTAGAATTTCACTTCTTAATTAAAAGCTCACTCCTAAAGTTGGATTCATAGTTTTACAATAGCATATCTTCTGAATGGCAAATAACAAAGTCCTGAATACATCTTGTTAGTCATAGCTTTGCAAAAAGAAAAAAACCACTACAGCATTTCTATAGTGGACTTTAACATCATAACTTCAGGTGGTTTAAAGGAACATGGTATTTGGTACCCTTCTCTTGTTGTCTGGGAGGCAATGCCTACGCCCTGTTGAATCCTAGCAGTTACACAGAAGGAGAATAATGATGGAAATGCATTGAAATCACTTGTGTGCCATTCTTCTGTACAAGCTATTCTGGTTCCATTGGTGCAAGGACATTTTTATATTATTTCCTTGTTACCTTTTGAATCACTTAATACTGCGTTACGTCTCTTTGAATTAGTAGCAAAGAGGAATGTATTTAAGAAAAACTAATTTAAGTTATTTTCAAAACATTGCCTGACATCTCTTTTGGCAGCACAGTTTAGTAAAGGCAAAGTTGAAGTTCTGTTTTCATTTACCCTGTAAATTCAGAGTAACTGCTGACAGCTGCAGCATAGAAAATGTCCCATTCGTGATAAATTAGCTGCATGTGTGTTGGATTTTATGAGTCACATCACTGAGCAACTCTCCAAGGAGGACCCACAGATGAAGACCTTTTCCCTTTCTTATTCTAAGGCTTTTGTGCATGCAGCAAAATTTAGGCCTAAATTCTACTGACAGTTATTGTTCATCAGGACTGTCACAGGCAAGTGATTCTGCTGAATTTAAATTGCATAGCTAGGGTTGCTTTCTCACTGCTACTCAGTTGTTATAACATCTGTTTTCTTATTGTGTTCTGCTTCAGCTTTTGGCGTGTATTTAAAGAAACTTCTTTATGTTTTTCTAAAGTCAATGTTGGAATTGGGCAAAAACTAAGGAGCACATATACAGAAAGTGTATTCTGAATTTTGGTTGGTTTTTCTTTTAATGTGTAGGGTCCAGCTTCCAAACATTGTGACTGAATAGTTTCAAATATGACTGACATGGGCAGGTTGGGGGCCCAGCGTCTGCCTTCAGTCTGATGCATAGAAGCACATATTTAGGGGAAGCAGAAGTCAGAATTTCTGTTTTTAATCTCAAGGGTAGAATTATTCAGGCCACCAAAACCGCAGTTTTGCTAGTAGTTTACATTTTAGCAATATATAGTTGTCATGGTTTAACCCCCGCCAGCAACTAAGCCCCACACAGCCGCTCGCTCACTCCCCTCACAGTGGGATGGGGGAGAGAATCAGAAGGGTAAAAGTGAGAAAACTCGTGGGTTGAGATAAAGACAGTTTAATAGGGAAAGCAAAAGCCACACTCGCAAGCAAAGCAAAAGAAGGGATTCATGCACTCCTTCCCATTAGCAGGCAGGTGTTCAGCCATCTCCAGGGAAGCAGGGCTCCATCACGTGTAACGGCTACTTGGGAAGACAGACGCCATCACTCCCAACGTCCCCCTGCTTCCTTCTTCTTCCCCCAGCTTTATATGCTGAGCATGACATCATACGGTGTGGAATATCCCTTTGGGCAGCTGGGGTCAGCTGTCCCAGCCGTGTCCCCTCCCAGCTCCTTGTGCACCCCCAGCCTCCTCGCTGGTGGGGTGGGGTGAGAAGCAGAAAAGGCCTTGACTCTGTGTAAGCACTGCTCAGCAATAGCTAAAACACCCCTGTGTTATCAACACTGTTTCCAGCACAAATCCAAAACAGAGCCCCATACTAGCTACTGTGGAGAAAATTAACTCTTTTCCAGTCAAAATCAGCACAATAGTCTAAACTGGTTAGTCACTTTTGAGACTGCATCTGTTCAAGGATGTGAACAGCTGGCCCTGTGCAGTAAAGCAAAGACAAATGCTAGCGTTAACAGTATGTAAGCTGTGTCTCATCATTCCAGAGGAGCAGTTCTTTCATAATGTGCCATGCAGTGGCTGGATTAATCCTCAAATCCGATCTCCTGTCCTTGCTTAGGAGTGTAAATATGCAACTAAAGGTGAAACTGAAGTCATAATACTTGTGAGATCTGTTAGATTTGCCTTCCTTGATCATTCGTGTAATAAGATCCCCTACCAGAGCCATTGCTAGCAGTATATGTCTATGTTAATTTTAATGTTTGCCAAGGAAATACTGAGACACTATTTTCTACATGTGACGTAGAGCATTCTGGTTATGATAAATGAAGATATCTTCATTTATCCTTTCAGAAACAAAAAAAGAGGTTACCGTGTCTGAAGGCTCTTAAAAAAACCAAAAAACAAAAACCAAACAAACAATGATTTGATTCAAGTTAGCTAAATAATTGCCTGTTTCATGCTTTGATCTCAATGTTAAACTAACGAGCTTTCATTTAAATTTATACCAGGTTCTATTACAGTCAAGGTACCTGCCTCTCTCAAAGCCTATTTACAGTTGTCTGGAAGAAAAGTGGATGTGAGCTCAGAGATCCAGTTAAAAGAAACACAGAGTGCCTCCAAAGACGATCACGTAACTATAAGTGGTAAGGCTTACTAATCTTGGCTTCCACTAAATGTCTGTCTGGCCTTAGTCAAAGGCATCCGCGTTTCCTTATGAGTTTATTGCTCTTGGCTTCTTCTTGTTTCATCTGTTTCAGGTTCAAATGTTTGCTTGTGCATTGTACTCCCCATGTTACTAGATGACTTTTTCATTTTGTTTGGTAAATGACTTGTGAATGCAACAACTGATTCTCTAACAAAAGTCTTAGAGCTAAATTCATCCTCGGCATCATTCCTGTGAATTTGTGGGAGGTAATCCAGGGCGGAATTTGACCCATTGCTTTGTTGGCTTAGACAGTCACATATAATAAATGGCCAGGGAATGCCTGTTAAAAATATAATGAAAAGTTTTCTCTGTGTATCTCTGTTGGGTGGGAGGGGGAAGTAAAAGGGGCATATGGCAGATCTATAAATGTGCAGTATAAATGTTAAGCAGCGCAGGGTAGGCTGAGAAATGATGGGTGGGAGACAGCTAGGAGAAGAGCAGAAGAAGCTGGAGCATGGAGGAATAGAGCATGCCTGGAAAGGTGCCTGTGATTACTGGAAACATTCTTCTAATGCATTTAAAATCGAACTTGGGAATCCCAAGTCTTGCTGTTTCCTGCTTTAGAAAACAGTTGTACAATTCATTGTCAGGGTGTGTATTTCTCCCTTGCTCTCCAGACGTGCCTATCTAGAAGTTAGGGCTGTTGCTGTTACCAATTACTCAGTTTGCTCAAGAGGGAACATTAACGTAATGTGTCTGAAGGCTCCAGCTTTGTTTTTGAACGTGTTATGTCAGCGTGACCTGCTATGATAGCAGATTGGGTGAGACTTTGAGTTTTTCTTTGGTTTTAAACCTAAGAAAATATGCACAAAACTTCTTTTCCTCCCCCATGTAAGATGATAATCTCAAAGTCAGGAAATGTTAGAAGTGTATGTACATAGTTTTAATGTGTAGCCTGCTTATATAAAATAGTAGTCTTGAAATGTATAGGTGTATCCCTTCCTGTCTTGAAGACAGGAACTAGAATTTAAATTTACTAGTGGTTATTAAATACAAATTTTTTAAAAACTGTGGTTAGAACTTCTGAAGCTAGAAACCTGTGGAAGGACCCCAGATTCCAGCAAGGCTGGAATGCATTGCCTCAGCAATAAAACAACCCATCTCCCAGCGAAGGAGGACCACTGGCCAGTGAATCGTCTTGTTATTCTGGCAACATTAAAGATAAGAGTGGTGTTTCAAATACACACAGCTGAATGGCTTCTCTGGTTTCACAACCCAGTCAGTGTTTATGTAGGACAGTCATCACTGAAGCAGATGCAATTTTTCAACCCACTATTCTGTATGGAAGTGATCTTGGCAGTTGAGGCCAAAAGCAGCCCTAATTAGTTAACCCTCAAATAGACGTATCCCAGAGTTATGGAAATCAGCAAGAATTGTGCAGAGGCAACAGCATTAGGCCACTGATTATCAGTTGTTTAAAGAGGCTACAGCATTGCACAAAAAATTTATTAAACATAAATCTAAATTGATCATAATACAGGTGAATGAAAAATACACCCTGGAATGGATTTTCTGCAGGATACAATTCAGCTAAACTAGCACTGGCTGGAAGCAATGTATCTGCATCTGTCTTTATACCCAGCATTTAGCTTTGCTGAGTGTTTTCTCACATAATGTAACCAATGATTTATAGCAGCTCTCTCCTTCCTTTTCTTCACTGGTAGGTAAGAAGCGACAAACCTGAAGGGAGATGAAGTAATTGGTTTTAACCTGTGCTTTGCTCCTTTTCTTACCCTTTTGGAAACGGTGCCTCCCCTTTCTTTGCCAAGTCAGTACCATTCCTTTGGCACGGCAAGGGAGATGCTGCCTGCTTTTCCTTCTCCTTACCGTGTCCCATGGGGACAGTGTATACTTTCTGCAGGTCAAGCACTTGTCCCCTCCTTCTCAACAATCTCTTCTTAAAGCTGATACTTGAGAATTTTCTTGTGCAAGTAGATTCTGAAATAATTAAAAATCATTTAATACTGTTTCTGTATCATTAAATCTTTATCCACTGTTGAAATTTTATGTACAGGCTCCTTCCTTCTAGCTTCCTTCCTTCTAGCTTCCTTTAGCTGTCCTGCTGCTGCAACTAAAGAAATATAAAATGGAGGGAAAAGAAGGGTTTTGCCAAGTGGAAGAAAACTCTGTATCACAAGAGCATGGTAGTTTAGATTTTTATGCTTCTGAGCTCAAAGGTTAGTTTAAAAATAGATGATTTTTCAGAAACTGGCCAGTCCTCATGTGGATAACGGAGGAACCGGCTGCTTTCGGAAAGCTTTACTTGCCTCTGGGAATATTGTGAGAGATGTTACAGAGGAGGCTCTCCAGGGGAAAGACAGGGTGGAGTTCTGTGACTTGGGTAAACACGCACCTAGTCTGTGACCTGCTGTCGGAAAGCCTTCCCTGCGGCTGGTGCAGCAGCTCTGATGCACGTCATCACCATGCTTCACGGCTCCTGGTACCACGCTGAGTGGGGAAGTCAGTACGCTGCAGTCCCACAAGCAGTCACGGCCAGGGTTTTGCAAGATAGTCAAGGAATAGAGCGGGATTTAGTCAAAGCAAGATGAAAGCCTGGAGCGAGTGCTCTAGAGGCAGAGTGGTGAGAGTGTGAAAAGTTGTTTTGGTCTTTTAGAAAAGGAAGGGACTTTCCTGCAGAACTGGGACATTTGCTGAGAAAGGGAAAGAACTATAGAGAGCAGTGCCAGGGAGTTCACACTTCAGAGTAATTTGCAGGGATAAGATACCTGTTTCCATTGACATCAGTACGCACTCTTAGGAGTAGTATGTATGGTATAATGAAAGCTGTTATAAAAACAGATTTGTGCTGAGCGCTGCCCCAGCTTCCATCTGTGAAAGCGTTTGTTCAGCTGTTTAGTTTGAGAGTGCTTGAGTAACTCCAGTAATTTCTGATGGCGATCATGTCACGGCATTCTTTTCCTTTCCCTGGCCAAGAGGGTAGGAAGAGAGGATTCTGCTTAGGCCTCGCTGCTTGATGTCGGTGCCTTCCCTGTGTCTCCAGGTCTGCCTGTATTCTTAAATCAGCTGATTTAAGAAGTCTGTAGAGATCACTAACTGTATCTGGAACTATATGTGGTAAGAGGAAGGGTAGCAGGCTAAAAAGTGTCAAATATTCAAGCAGAAAAGGAGCTTAGGAGACTGTCATGCCAAAGGGGTTACAAACATATTGAAGGCCAGGGTTAAAATTCAAATAATCTTTTATTTTTATGCTTTTTAGGCCATTTTTCTAATAAGTCCTTTTAAATTCAAAGTACAAAGGTAGGAATAATTACTGTGTGGTCCCAAGAGGAGGAATATTTCAATAAAAACATCAGTAAACAGGAAACAATAATGTTACACAGTTGCAAAAAATAAACAGTGTATTAACATGACTGTTCTGTAAAACTCCAAATAATCCCTTGGCTTCACATGGCATTAGTAATACTTTGCTGGGAGGTGTCCAGTTTTGAGTACTGGGCTTCAAAAAGGATGTGGACAACTGTAGAGGCGCTGAAGGAGAACACATGATCAGAGGCCTAAAAAAACTATTTGAGGGAAGACTGAAAAAGTGTTGGTTTTGTCTAAAGAAGAGAAGACTGAGAGAAGATGCACTTTTCCAGTACATAAGAAATTGCTGTAGAGATGAAAGAAATAAATTGTTCTCTGTCCACTGGGGATAGGACTAGAAATTATGACTTGATCTTGTGGTAAAGAAAACTTAGCTAAATAGTAAGATGAACTTTCTGGTAGTAAGCACTTGTCTGGTGAGGCCATAGGAGTGTCAGTGCTGCAGGTTGTGAAGAACAGGCTAGGCAAGCATGTCAGGTTAAATACAGCGCATCCTCAGGAGGTTGCTTTCAGCCCTGTTTTCTCTTGTCCTAAGTTGGTGTGACCGTCTGCTCCCACCCACTGCAAAGGAAGGCGATGAGGCACGTGGATGGATAAATTTGGGGACTAAACGAATGCAGCCAGTGGGCACGCTTCCGCCCGCTTCCATTGCCAGCTTGTGTGTTGGTAACCGTAAGCTTGCTGGAAAAAGTCTTGCAATCATTCAGAGACTTTCTTTGGATCCTTGTAGCTGATGGTATCAATTTCCAAATCTAATTGTCTGGAATATAATGTTTCCCCCCCGCCTTTTTTTTGTTTGTTTGTTTGTTTTTTTTAAAAAACCATGTAAATCTTCCATTTCTGAGTGGTACCAGGGACTCATCTGATTCCAGATCTTTCTCCATCCCTGGCCCCAGTTCTAGTGCCAAGTTCATATCCAGTGGCAACCATTGACCGATGCCATCCATCTGCTTGGTGCCGAGTGAGCTTTTAACTTTGGCAGTCACTTACTCCATCTGGTTTTCAGCACTTGCGTGAGTCTGCTTGGTAGAAGTCCCACAGTGTCACAGGTGCTTCTCAGAGGCCGTGGATGTTTGTCTTTGTAGGTTATTGTGTCTCCCTATTCTTAATTTTTCAGGTCGGCAAACCACCTTCTTCCTATATTTATTTCCATCCTCTTACAGAGAACATACTCTTTGGGAATGATTGTCTTCTCCCAGGTCGAGACATTCTTGCTCCCTGTTTCATCCAGCATGACAACAGTTGCAGCAGTTAACAGGATTTTTAGCCTTTGGTACTAACCCCACCCCATCTACAGCGCTAGAGCTGTGCCGAGCCACATCTGAACAGTGTTCTGCTCAGAGCCCTGCCTTCTGGTGGCCATGCACACCAGTAATAGGGTGCTGTCTTTCATGTTAACTTATACCCTCCCTCAGATGTCTGTCCTGAGGATGGAGAGGAATCTCCTGTTGTCTTCTCTATCCCCCTTTTTCCTGTGAAAGTTTCCAGATAGATGTTGCCTCTACCTTTTGGGTTGATCCAGCATCCAGTTATTCTTTTGATCACTAGAAACTCCTTTGATGGCCTTCTTCCTCAGGTGCCTCTGCAGAGAGACAGCCTGCCTAATTACCAGATTCCCTTGAAAAGATGGGCATTGATACCACTGTCCTATCTCCGACTTTCTGGGTTTCTCTTAATAACTTCAGGCCTTTTCACTGTTTGGTTCTCCTTTCTCCTTACAACAATCATTCTCTCAGGCGTGCACTGAAATAATAAGGCTTTTATGTCTGCGTGAGGTTGGATCTGGACTCCCCTCTGGAACATAGGGGACTTAGATGTTTCCTACCTCGATGTCCTTCGGGAATAACTTATTTCTCACTGCTCACAGAACGGATCCAGTGGTACTGGGAGAGCAGCCTATGAGGTGCTGTGGACTTACCCTGTAGGACTGCTTCAAAGACAGCGTGAAAGGAGAGCTGACTGCATGGGTCTCGTACACTGCCTACAAGGCTTTACAGATGCGTTTAACTGCCTTTGTTATCAGAAATTCTGCGTTATTTACTTTAAGGTAATTTCTGTGGTTTTAGCTGCATGGCATTCCAGGGTTAAATACGAACGCAGGTGAAAGGGCAGTGAATAATGTGCGGCAAGCAACTTGCCTTTAAAAGGGAAATAACTGGAAGAGCTTGTATTATGGCAGTCTGCTGAAACTTAAGTTTCTTCTGAAACTTAACAGCTGTCCGAGCGTAGCACTGCTTCTCCCACCGTGCAGCTGCCTTGGGCCTGTTGCATTCAGTTACGGCTCTAATCCCAGGAGTAACACTATCCGCTGCCGCGTCCCTCCCTGTTTTCTCTGTTCTCAAGGCATTTCTTCAAAACTTTCCTTCTTTCCTAGAAGCAATTTTTATTGACTCTTTGCCACTAGAATTGAGTGGGAAGAGCTTTGGTTTACAGTTTTACAGTGTCCCTCTAAACACTGTCCCTCTGTGAAGCCTTGATCCTTAAGCAGTATCTTAAAAAAAAAAAAAACCAAACAAACAAAGATGCAGGTTGTATCTGGGAAAAGATTACATTCCTTCAAGTCAAATAGAAAGTTCATCCAACTTTTATGAAACACATTAGATGAGATGCTATCCTACAGATTTTTATTGGTTTCAGCTTGCATTTAACTCAAGCTGTTCACAGCCTTTGTGAGATATACCACAGTAAAAAAAAAAAAAACCAAACAAACAAAGATGCAGGTTGTATCTGGAAAAGATTACATTCCTTCAAGTCAAATAGAAAGTTCATCCAACTTTTATGAAACACATTAGATGAGATGCTATCCTACAGATTTTTATTGGTTTCAGCTTGCATTTAACTCAAGCTGTTCACAGCCTTTGTGAGATATACCACAGTCCTAACAATACCGGTGAAAAACATTTAAAATATGCTTATCTTCATGTTTTTTACGATAGAATTGAGCTCTCTATTCACTTGCCTTCCTGGACACTGGAGAAGTTAAACAGTCAGTACTTCACTGCATGATGTTTAGCAAAGGTGTTCCCTGCCTTTGGACACACATGGGGGGGAAAAAAAAGAACTTTTCCTGGGCATTAAACTGAAGAAGGTGCCACGCAGCGTACTGGTGCATCTGTCTTCTTGGGAGCTTACGCTGTCGTCTCGACTGGTGGGTTTTGGTTTTGAAATGAAAATGAATTCCCCCCCCCCCGCCTTTTCCTTATTCTCAATCCAGCAGGCTGTTGGCCTTCGTGATTTAATTACACTAGCAAAGTCATCCTCAAAATCCACTTATGTTCCCACAGTATTCAGAGTACAGGCAGTGGGTACAGTTAAGACCAAACTGTCATCAAAAGGTCTCCAACTAAAACTTGTTGCTTGATCAGCGCCTCATACACAAAGCTGTTTAAATATCTTAAGCTTGGTTTGAACCTGCTACTGGCGATAGGCTTAATAACCTTAAAATAGTTTGAAGATCTTCATCCCTAGGGAGTGGAACTTGACACTCACTTTCTTGCAGGCAGTTTGATATTTTCTGCATTCCCTTCACAGGCAAATCTCCAGAAGAAGCATAAGGAACAAAACATTTTTCTAAGTTCACATAGCAAACGCAAAATGAAAAACAGAGCTCAGACAACAACTGAGCTTTACAGCAGCTCCTGCTAATTTGTTTGTGTGTTTCTTCAAAACTCTTCTTTAGCAGAAGTGTAGCAGGGTGTAAGCAGTGCATGGATCTGTTCGTGTACGGGGTCGATCCTGTGCTTCAGTGTTTGTTCCTTGTACGGAAGTACAAGCCACGGCGATAAAAACATGAGAGAGAGGAACTGGGAGCAAGCGCTCCAATGCGCCCTTCCTGGAAATCTCTCTCTGCCCTACATTTGTTGTGTCCTCTCACCTTAAGAAAAAAAAGCTGTATTTTCAGTGCTCTACAACTCTGAAAGGGATCAACTGAAATTTTCGTCTATGCTTCTTTGTAGGTTCATTTTTTTGACACCTGGAGGCTATTTCCTAGTTAAAATTCAGATCGATCTAGGGTTTTAAGGGCTACCTCTACTTAAAGTTAGATTTTGTTTCCATTTTTGTTCTGTATTCTCTGATACAATACTATTGCAAATCGATGATTCAGGAAAGCTTTCTGAGGAACGGAAGTTTCAGATTTTAACAGATTTGATGTACAACACATTTGTCCAACTTGGTGATGATCATCATAGATTTAAGTCCATAATTAGATGGGGAGCAGAACTGTGGATTCTGCCTTGCAGTAGGAACGGTATTGAGACTGAGCGTGATTGAGACTGCTGCTGCCGGAAGCAATCAGGAGCGCAGAAATTGTACTAGGACATCCACACGGCGATCCCTGACGGCGTGTTGTAGTCTGGTAACAAAGGACACTCAAAGACCTTTGCGTTCAGTGGGAGAACTCCATCGAGTGTCGGACTCCTCTGAAAATCCCGTACTTCTAAACAGTACCTCAGCCTGGTAGTGAATTCATGTGGGTTTGGCCCACAACCCCAGATTACAAGGACCGAAGCGCTGAAACACTATTGAAAAGCTCTGGCACGGAGGCTTGAGTTGTGGAAACCGATGCAGTGATGTCAGTTGGAGTTTCGCCACTGTTCTTGACGTGGCCAAAATTTAACTTCAGCTGTGTTACAGGTCAGAGCAGAGCATGTTTGCAAAGTTGCTTCAGAATCTGCTTCCCTGCCATCCCTCATGCTATTCCAGGCTCAAATTAGTTCTAAACTTAGAACTCACTCGGTCACACAAACACTAAAGTAATAATAAAAGATATTTTGTGAAGATAAACCAAAGTGAAGGTTGATCTTGTGATAAAGGCACTGATTTGAGACCTAAAAGATCCCAGTTTAATTCCCAATTTGGTCACAAATCTGTACAAATTTGGAAGGTCACTTATTTTCTCTTGGCCTCAGTTTCTTAATTGTAAAATGAGGGTAAGTTGAACTTTCTCCTTTGTTATACAGTGAGCTTTTCCGAGCATGACCATGCATACCAAGTTTCTGTGAAACATGTAAGACAGACATCTCGGGGTGGTGGGTTTCTTAATCCATTATTATAAGAAAGCAGTAATAGTAGCAACATGTCTGGTCATCTGGAAAATCAGGTCTTACCCATGTCTCTTTTCCATGTTTACAATAAAGGTGAAAACTTTTCAAATTACTTAGCCAGATTAATGTCTAATGTAGACGTATTTCCTAGCCCGTAATAAAAACTACGGTACTACATAATAAAAACCACAACTTTATTGTAATAACATATTATGGGAAGTGAGATTAATGCACAAAAAACTGTATCAAGAATGAAATGTCAGAAGCCCCTGTTAAAAATATAAAAATTCTACCAAATGAAAGTCTTATAAGTATTTCCAGGGAGCCTGAAAAAAAGGCGATGTGAGGAGGATATGTTTACTGGGTGTCACATTAAACTAAACAGAACTCTCTTTCCCAGGTCACATGAATCAAAGGAACGAAACGGACAAATGGATTAAGGCTGACACACAAAGCGGCAAAGTGTGTCTTAAAAGCCAAAGCTGGATCCAGTCTGTCAAGCTGAAGAGTTCTTAAAGGTGAAAGAGGCCAAAGAGATTGAATCAAGAAATTGTAAAGGAACATTTCTGTAAAGTTATGAAACTTTATTGATGCATATTCTTAATATAAGACGGAAACAATATTAAAAATGAGGGCATTTTAACCCAAGATTTGCCCGTGGCTGGTGCTTAACAGGTCTGGTTTAGTGCCTTCCAGGAACGACAAGATCTTACATGTTCAGAGTTTGTGTAACTTGACCCACTTACCATGTCAGTTTAGAAGCTGGTAACTTTCAAACAGAAGTTTGGAGTCGTCATTTAAAAATAAAAATAATTGTCCACATCTGGTATTTGAAAATATGCAAATTTACTTCCAAGATGACACGCTCTGCAAGCTATTTTGTATTTTTGAATTAAATGTCTCAGTACTGTGGAAATTCCACTGGTTTATGCAAAATGCAGAGAATTTTCTTCAACCAAATTATTTGTATTGTGGATAGGATAAAACCACTTTCAAAACTCTACTTCTTATTTGGTCTTCTCGTTTGGTGTTCGACCCCTAAGGAGCTCCTGCCTTGTCAGTGGGTACCGTATGTGTAGAACTACTTACGTGAAATGACAGAACCTGCCCCGTGTCATCCTGAACCACTTTACGTGTGGATAGAAATAAGAACGCTAGCTATGTTGACCGCTGTTCATCTGCAAAGAAAAGCTTTTAAAATAAATACTGAAAAGCGCAACGGGTCTGGCTGATTTCGAGGAACGCTCCACCAACTGGACTTCGAACAAGTCCACATGAGTATTCCCCTAAAGTAAAAGCTACCAAAGAATGGAAGTATTGGCCTAATAAATAAGGACTGTAATCTGTTTATTTGCTACATTTCCAGTGACTTGCTGTCAGCCTTGCATGAGGGGACCGTCGGCCCTTTGAGGCAGAAAGGCAGAGGGAGGTGAGGGGAATGTGTAAGCCCCGCACCAGGGCATACGTGATTTTTGTGGGGGATTTTGTGTTACCGTAATACAAACGCACAGTAAAGTAAATGGAGCTTTTAAAAGCCTTTCCACATATACATCTCCCCTTACAAAAGAAGGACAGAAATTTGTGTTTTAAAACTGAAATGTAAGAATTCCTGCCAGCTGAGTGGATGGAGAGTAGCAAAGAAGAGTTCAGAGTGTCAGCTCAGGTTTTCACTTGTCTATATGTGTGTATGTACTCTGGATCAGAATGGCACGTTATGAAAGGAACTTCTCCTTTTCCCACAGGAGTCCGCAGGAGGTGTAATTGCCCCTGGCTGATGGACTTCGGTAGTCACGGGCAGCATTTTTACTATAGTTCAGGGTGGTTAAAAACTCCACATTCTGTTTGCTGTTGCGTGTACTGTTTGTTTGGATGAGGTGGGCACTGATGTGTATGGCAATTACATATATTTTTAATATAAACACTAATATATAAAACATTACAAATATTATTGCTAAAAGCAATATGATATTACTAGTTATTAGTACTTTTTATTATACTACTTTTAAAAGACACAAAATTAATAAATGTGTAATGGTTTTAGATTTCCTGAAAAATTTTTGAAACTAATGATTTCTGTGCACTGCTGCAGACAAAGCGAAAGAAGCACCTCTAAATTCACGCTGCATTGAAAATAAAAACAGTGGAGTAGATATTTCACAAAATTGAGTCAATTTAATGGCTCCGTTATTCACCCGGATTACAAAGCCTGTCAGCCTCTGTGACTAAGGTCGTGCCTCTTGGAACTGCTGCATCAGCAATTTAAGGGAGAGCACAGTAAGAAAACACGTCATTTCTTCCATGTTCAAAAGTAAGCAAGCTAAGGCATTCATATGCTAAACACAGCTGGAATTAAACATTCGGATTGGTAATTATTTGCTTAAAGAAGTTTAAATAAGCCATCAGAAAAATTGTGCTACCACTAAAGCTGCTCTGATTATATTCCTTCCAAGCTAATAAATGTTGAGGGCAGCCAGAACTTTAACGTAAAGGTCAAGAATGAGCTGGAGAAAGACGAACCTTTGGGAGTTTCCCCAAAGGCATTTGAGTAATGTCTTGTTCTGCAATAATGAGGTGAAACTTTGTGTTTTTCTCTAGACAAGGAAAGATTAGGGGGTTATCAGTAATTAGGATCTGAATGGCAAAATATGTGCTCGTGTTTTTTTGTCCATTTGATGAGAAGACATGTTCTGGTAACCGGAGAAAATGTATCCTTTACCACTTTTCTCATCTGTGCTCCTTTTCATCTGATTCTCCTGACTGTCAGCTGCCAGCTAGCCTGCAGTTCCGATCTGCACGTGCAAACATCGGCTCGCCTAGAGAGCTGAACCCGGCCCGAGGGGCCTTCATGAGAGGTAGGGCTCTGGGCGCACAAGCGACTGCTGAGAAGTAGAGAACCGTGCTTCAGTGTGCAAGTATAGTTGCAGGTTAAGGAATCGGCAGTCACTACCCATTCGCTGTTCTTAGTGCTCAAGAGCGCTGCACTTGATGAGTACCAGCCCTGCCACGTGGGAAGTCAGAGTGTTTATGTCCCGGAGGGGACCTTCATGGCAAAGAGGAACCCCAAGCACACGCAGATTTATTTATTGCTTACTCTGCATGGGACTACAGAACTTCTCGTTATTGAAAGATGAAGACAGCTTGAATCAACATCTGAAAGTTAGCAGTGTTGTTTCACTGCGGCTGTCTTGCTTGAAGGCGTACATACTCCTGCGAGAAGGATTTGCAATGCTTCCTTACTAATTCAACAAACAGCCTTTTATTAAAGTATGATTAGTTTTAAGACAAATAATATAGTGTTCTTTTCATGCTCTAGTGAAAAACCCTTGAACTGTAGAAGATGTTGTGCAATTTCTTCATCTTTCATTTTGAGTAATTTGTTTATTCAGGCGCTGATGTGAAGGTGAGTATGTTACCGTCCCGGTTGTATCCAAGCCAGGAAGGAGGGTCAGCATCACTGTGTTCTTGTGTCTCCAGTTTGGCTGTATATTTCAAGACAGCTTGTCTGCAACAAGAGTTAAAAGAAAAAAAAATGACAAAAGTAAAAAAAAAAAAATTTGCAGAGGCTGTTTCTACAAAGAACACTAAAAGCTGTTTAATGAGCAAAAGTTCCTTGTTCTAACTGAAGCTATCACTATTTTAAGAGGTGTTGTGGAAATTAAAAAAAGCAAATAATTGGTTAGGCCAGAGAGTCACAGAATAAATTAGGTTGGAAGGGGCCTCTGGAGAGCGTTTAATCCTGGTCTTGCTCTAAATGTGTCCAACTGGACCAGGTGGGTCACGGCTTCGCCAGCTGCGTTCTGAATATCTCTAGGGATGAAGATTGCTCAGCCTCTCTGGGCTCCCGTTCAAGTGTTTGGCCAGCCTCCTGATGAAAAAATAGTTTCCTTGTATGTAATCAGAACTTGACATATGCCACTTGTCCCGCCAGTGCACCTCGGAGGAAAGCCCGGCCGTGTCTTCTCTTCCATGTCCTCCGGCCGGAGCTGCAGACAGCAGTGGGCTCTCCCCAGCCCCAGCCCTCTCTTCCGGCGGCGGAGCGAAGTGATGCTTTCGGCCTCCCTTCGCGCATCGCGTGCTCCAGCCCCTCCGCGGTCTCCGCCCCTCACCTGTGCTTGCTGCCGCCTGTCAGTGCCTAAACCCAGATCTCTGGGACGGAGTAGGCGATGCCATTGGAATAATAGCATTGTGTTTTGAAGAAAGCATAACGCCAAGCTAGATAAATAAACCAGTTACATCAAAAGATACCACAGAGTCTCCAGCGTGGTTTTTCATAGCTATATCGGAAGGCCGTAGTAACTGTGCAGGTCCCTATCTCTATTTTTTTCTTTGAACAGTCTCTGTGGCACCTCCAGGTATTTCCACCCTTTCCTGGTACACCTTCTGCTTTCTCTTTGGCTAACCTCTCCTCTTGTAGTTATCTTCTGTCACCCACCTCTTCTTAAAGCGTATTGTTTCTGAAACGGAACCGAATACGGAACGAGCAGCGTTATGGGGCCTGACGGCCACCGGCGCCGGCCCCGAGCTCGCCCTGAGGCTGCGCTTTGCAGCTTCTGCGATCACTGAACCAGGATGACCCCTCTGATCAACCTCGGCATTTTGTGGCCGCTGCCCCTTTGTTGGAACACGGAAACAATGAACTAGAGCAAAATGCCTCAGAACTAGGAGGAAATCGGGCCTGCTGAGTGCGACGCCCTAAAAAGAAGTTGTCCCTCCTTCCCAGGCAGTATCAGTCCAGCAACTTTCATTGCCTTCCCGAGCTGAAGACACGTAACCCGCCACTTCCAGTCTTTCAAATGTCTCTTTCTTTCCATTGCTTGTGCGAGTTGGCTGTCAGCCCGCTCCGGGCTGCGCCGAGCACCGCCGCCCCCGGCCGCCCCAGCCACCCCCGGCCCTGGCTCTGGCGCTCCGGAAAGCTGCCCCGGGCCCAGCGGCTCGCGGGAAGGGCCAGCTCCTTCAGGAGAGTCAGCCTGACCTGGTGCGGCACAGCCGCAGCACCGCAGCCTTTCTCCCTGCTGGCCAACTTCCTGAGCTCTGGAAGGATATGAGAGATGGCAACTAGACAATACTAGAAAAAAACCCAAACGAAAGTGGCCTGTTATCTGCTACTACAGTATTTTCTTTTTCCCAAAGCGAAAACGCTGCAGATGGTTACACAAGAGGCAGACGTGCCCAGCTGTAACGCTCGCCCCACCGCAGCCCAAGAGGGGAGGCGGGGAGGGGTGGAAAAGGGGCAAACTTGGTGAAGCAAGGAGGGCGCCTTCTCAACCACTGCGTGACACTTTTTTTGAAATCTAACACTGACACACTGTATGAAGCACATGAACACAAGGCTGTATCTGTTTTTATATTAGGGAGGCCTGTGCCACTGAGGAATGTGTGCACAATTTATATGAGCTATAAGCTCTAAGCTATAAAATAAAGATCAACTCATCCAAGTCCAAATTCCTGTTTTTCATGGAAACTGCAATGTATGGCAGCTGTCTGAAGCATGTATAAGGGGAGCTGTTACTGGTTTTTTGGGAATTTATGCTGTCCCATGCCTGGAGCTACAGTTGATTAGTTTGCCAGAAACAGCCATTCATTAATCATCAACACATGGCAAAATAGATCGTTTATTTAAGATATACTGTGCTATGATAGAGCCTG